TCAACTTAAAATGACCTTTACACTCTCCCTCACTTTTCGAATTTCCACGTTTCTGCGGGTATGGGTTTTGGCGATCTAACAAAGGAATCTGGTGTCAAGGCTCTTGACGATTACCTTCTTACAAGGAGTTACATTGAAGGGTAAAAATTATTCCATGTTAAATAAGGTTAACTTTTAGTTATCAGCCATCGAAAGCCGACACGGTTGTGTTTGATGCACTTGGCAAAGCACCCGTCGACAAGTATGTGTGCGCCAGCCGCTGGTACAACCACATTAAGTCTTTTGGCGATCAAAGAAAAAAATTCCCTGGACAGGCCAAAGATGTCTCCTCGTACGGTTCTTCAGGTTGTTAATTTTTTCTAAACTTGCAGTTTTCAAAGTTCGTTAATTTGGGCAGCGAACTGCCTTCTTTACACTTGGCCTTATTTTCCAGTGGTGGCCAGTGTTGGTTAAGTTCAAAGCCTGATTTATGATATAGTTATTGGTTGTAATCAATCCCCTTGGCCTCATAAACTAACAATTAACTTGAAACTTTTACCTGCATGTCCGATTAACAATTTTTCAGCGGAATAATACATCAAAGTTCCGTTGTCGAACTGGACGCAACTTTTACGCCCCTTTAGTATTTGCACTCAGTTAAGTTTAATCTACCACTGATGACATCATGAACGTTAAGGTAAACTTTGCCATTCTATCTAGCTCCCGCGAAGGCTGCTGCCACGAAAGATGAAGACGACGATGATATCGACTTTTTCGAGTCTGAAGACGAGGACGAAGCCGAAAAGCGCAGAGCTGAACGTGTGGCTGCATACAGTGAGAAAAAGAAGGATAAGAAACAGATAACTGCGAAGTCAATGATCATCCTAGACATCAAGCCTTGGGATGACGAGACGGACATGAATGCAATGGAAGAAGCTGTCCGTTCCATTAAGACAGATGGCCTAGTTTGGGGTACCTCAAAGCTTGTACCCGTAGCGTTCGGTATCAAAAAGCTTCAAATTACCTGTGTTGTCGAAGATGATAAGGTGCGTTTTCTAATTTCCAGTACTGTACATATTTACTATCATTTATTTTTTGAATTTGCTAGCGCTTGGACGATTCATAAACATTTTTTCCCTTTCAGGTCGGTACCGATTTCCTCGAAGAAGAAATTTCGAAGTTCGAAGATTACGTCCAGTCAATCGATATTGCAGCTTTCAACAAGTTGTAAAATTTGTGCCTTGGACATTTGCAGCCATTCAGTACAGTAAACTGGAGTTTTTAAATGTCTTTTGGACAGATATTCCGATTATCCATCCTCATTTTTTAACTTTGGGAAATATTTCGTTTACTGCGGCCAGTCCATAGTAATCGGTAACTGTTAACATTCACTCTCCTCAATCTCTAAGCTGCCGTAAGAAGCAACCGATTTCCCCGTCCACAGCATATACGGATGTCGTTTTATCACCAATCTTTTATTGTTTAGTGGGCATTCTCGTACACGCTCTGCAGGTCTGAGGACTGCATAGGTTTTTCAGGCCGCATTTCACGTTATACCACTATTCCGAACGAGGAGACGCGGCCGCGCCATACCCACGGCAACTGCTTACTTTTAAAACCTGCAGATACGTTAACCGATTTCAAGAGGTGTCGACTCTGTGTCTAGCCTTAGTTTTGTTAAAGTACACCATATTGTTATTCGCCTTTCATTATCTATCTCGTTTACCCTCAGAACATTGGTTAGACGTCTTCTGAGATAGTTGCCGAATGAATGCTTTCTATTTTGAATAAGGAGATTTAGCGCTCGCCCGAATGCCCTACCCACCGATTTTCCGAACAGACCTTTAAATTGAGCAACGCTTCCTTATCATTTGGTCCGAGGAAATCTCGGTGAACAAGGACTATCCACTATTCAGGCGTTGAAGTTCCCCACCGCTCGGTTAAGGAATGTGCCTGATAAGCGTTTCAGTTGTCCCTGTACTCTCGCTAACGATTGGG